AAAATGCCATGCACTTGGCAAATCAAAAATAAAATGCATCCATAGCAACATGGCTTGAATTTTACAAGACGGTGGACTGCATAGGACAGGGGTCTGCAAGCTTTTCTGTAAAGGTCCAACTGGTCAAAATTTTAGGCTTTGCAGGCCAGATAATTTCTTACAACTACTTAGCTGCAGTTGTAATGTGAAAGCAGTCATACATACTTTATAAACTAAAGAGGATACTTGTGTTTCAATAAACATTTATAAAGACTAAAATTTGCATTGTATGTAATTTTTACATGTCATGAAATGCTATTTTTTTTTCAATGAATTAAACATAATGGAGCTGTAGGCCATTATTCTAAGTGAACTAACACAGGAAGAGAAAACCAAATACCTCATGTTCTCACTTAAAGCAGGAGCTAAACATTGAATACACAGGGACATGAAGAAGAGAACAACAGACACGGGGCCTACTTGAGGGTGGAGGGTGGGAGGAGGCGGAGGATGGAAAAACTACCCATGTGGTACTATGCTTATTACCAGATAGGCAGTTTGTGATGAAAGACGGGATGTGATAACACACGAGGATGTAATGGAATCTGTACACTAACCCCCTGTGACATGCAATTTACCCAAATAAAAAACCTGTATGTGTACTCCTGAAACTAAAAGTTAAAAAAAAGTAAATACCAGTTTTACATAGTCTGTAAGAAAACAGGTGGTGGGCTGAAATTAGTCAGTGGGCCATAATTTGCTGACTCCTAGCCTAGGGGAAAGTAAGAAAGAGCATGAGATATATCACAGAATAGAACTTCCCAATATTCAAAAGATATGCACCAAAGCATCAATGTATATTTCCTAGAATATGTCCAAATAAAGGTTCCATCTTGAAATCATAAAAATAATCACCTATGGGCCAGGTGTGGTGATCACTCCACTCAGACCTGTAATCACAGCACTTTGGGAGGCCAAGGTGGGCAGATAACTTGAAGCCAAAAGTTTGAGACCAACCTAGCCAACATGGCAAAATCCTGTCTCCACAAAAAATAAAAAATTAGCTGGGGCATGATGGCACATGCTTGTGATCCCAGCCATGCAGGAGGCTGAGGCATGAGAATCACATGAACCTGGGAGGCTATGCAACCATAAAAAGAATGAGATCATGTTCTCAGTGATAACTGAGTAGCAACTGCCCTCTTTCATCAGTGAGTGAAATCTCCACTCACTCTGCATCTCACCCTTCCCACTTCATTCAGATTTCCTCTGTACAGGTTTGAGTTCCCACTCATTCTCTTACTTATAAAAGGAATTCATTAGCAGCCAGAGGTTGCATGGGAGATAATTTCCCCAAGCTACCTAGTGAGTGGTGGATGCAGATCAAGAACCTAGGAGCATTAGCCATGATAGGTTAACTTATGCCATGATTGCAAATCATTGCTGAAATATCTGTGGTTTATGATGACAAAGATTTGTATTTTAATTGACTCAAAATCTCTTGTGGGTCACATGGTGACTCAGAGACATGGCCTGTCTCCACTTTGCTGCTCTATCATCTCAGTGTGTGGCTTCCAGATTAGTGCAGCTGGAGAACAGAAGGCCAGAGGGCCACTCAGAGGATTTTGCTCCAGCATGGAGGGGATTTTCATCTCTAGTCAGATTCCCCTGGCTGGAATTACTCACATGGCTCTATCCAACTGCAGGAAAGTTGGGAACTATAATTTCTGTGTTCCCAAGAAGGAAACAAGCAGTTATTGGTGAGTGTGAGCAACAGCTCCCACAATAAGGATCTTTCATTTTGGCCCAGGCTTTTTCAGCTTGATAATGCCACTTTTTGCTCTACATTAGCCAGTGTGTTTACTGCCATGTTTGCAACACAGGCCTTCAGAGCTATCTACACAAGCAAGAGGAATACATGCTGGGGGGCTCAGTGAAGACCCCACAGAGGAAAGTCACTTGGATTTCGCTTTGAGGATTGAGTAGGATTTCAAGATGTAAGAAGAATCGTTTATTTCAAATGTCCACATCGAATCAGTAAAGGTAAGCAGGAAGGATTCTCACAGCCTGTCTTGGTAAACCAGTCAAGTCAGTCTTCCTCTAGTAAAACAGTTATGCAGAGAAAAATCACGCTGGATCTTTGAATGCTTGACTGGATCTTGGACTTCACCTCATGGTTAACAGGCAGGAATTGGTTCAATAGCCAGTGATTCTTAGCAGGAGGGAGGACTGTGTCATTTGGATTCTATAGAACCAATTTCACTCTCCATTTGTACTTGCAGATTCAGCTTCAACACCATTTTCTTTTTTTTTTTTTAATTTTTTAAACTTTTTATTATAAAAAATTTTAAATACACATAAACACATTATATTAGTATAGGGTAAGGATTAACGCCGTTTTCTTATGTTGTGAAAGTTGAAGAGCAAGCACTTGGAAGATAGTTGGCTGAGTATTTCTGCCTTGGGTTTTCTAAGACTAACCACCCAGTGAATTCTGCAACACCCTGTTAAATGATGCTCCCAGCCATGGAGGACCAAGGAAAGCCAAAGGCAGAGCTGCCTCTATGAGTGATGATACTGCTGCAGACCCTGATGGGACGCAGAGCATTATTAATAGAACAGGGCATAAGGATGCACGCTGTCAGAGCTACCCCGTCTATTTTTGTGTGACGCAGGGAATTTGTAGCCATCCACATTGATTTGTAATGGTGAACTGTCATTTCCAGTAACAACTGTCCATGATCATATTTAAAATAATATTGAAAATTCACTGAACACAATATTTTTAAAGGATGTCATCTTTTAGAAAAACACGTGTGGATTTTAAAGACAAGTAGATGAATACAACACCAATAATCATTGTTAAATTATCCTATGTTTACCTGGGATTGCAGTAAAATTAATGTTCCCTAGAAATTGTGAATGGTTAAATTAAAGCATATTAATAAAATGAAACACCAAACAATTTTTGCTTTTCCACTTTGGCATTCTTAATAACCTAATAGGATTATCATTAAATTTTAAAACAGGAAGAATTTTGCTTTATTGCCACCCTGGTTAATCTCCTTCCACTCCTGAGAAAAACAAACAAGCAAACAATGACCTCAACACCCATTTTTTTCCTGTACAACTTTCCCTCTCTCTCTCCAGGTGAAGTTTGTACTAGTGAGAGTTAGGAGATTTGATGAAATTATTCACCCAGGTGTAAGCACTGGTATGTTATTAATACTTTCTCTAAGAACATGCACAGCTTCACCAGGGCTTGCTGCTGCCCCATGTACTAAGGATGCAATAGTTTGTGGTTCTCTGGAGAGCTTTGCCACTTGTTTTGCAGGGAGAGGGCTTTAAACAATTGATATGAGAGTTTTTCTTGAGAATGAATTTTTATACAAAGAAAAGAGAGGGGAAGAGAACATTGCTGGCCTTGGGAGTCTGAAAAACAGACATAAAACAGGAAAGGAAAGAAAACAGTTTACCATCTTCATAATTTAAGGTTAACGTAGTTTGGATATGCCCCTACTCAAATCTCATGCTGAATTGTAATCCCCACTCTGGAGGTGGGGCCTAGTGGGGGTGTTTGGAACACGGGAGTAGATGCCTCATGGATGGAGTGGGCCATCCCGTTGGTGACGAGTGAGCTCTGAGTTCGCAAGAGATCTGGTCATGTGGAGGCGTGTGGCACCTGCCTCCCACTCTTGCTCTTGCTTTTGCCATGTGAAGTGCCTGCTCCCACTTCACCTGAGGCCTCCCCACAAGCTGAGTGCCATGCTTGTACAGCTTGTGGAACTGTGAGCCAATGAAACCTGGTTTCTTTATAAATTACCCCAACTCAGGACCTGGGGTAAAGACAGCCCAACAGTAGAAGGTGCTGTTGGCAATACCTGCTCTATTCCAGCCAAACAACAATAGAACCTGCCCCGGCCAGGCTTTCAGCAGGGCCAAGCTGGAGGCTGATTTTCCACCCTAGCTCCTGTCCCAGGGAAGCAGGCTGTGGGCTCCAGTCTCTCTGTGGTGTCAGCAGGATGTAGTGTGAGCTGGGTCTCCACTTTCTGCGATGGATGAGACAGAATAAGGCAATGCAAGGTAAAGTGGTCCATGTTCTGCTCCCTCTTCCCTCCGGTCCTGCCCCTGGGTCCAGAGGAGACTGAACATATACACAGCCCTGGTGCTACATCTCAACAGAGAAGCCGCCTATTAAAAAAGAGTAAATAGGATTCACAATCTTATAACATCAAAATGTCCATAATACAACAACAAAAAAATCACTCATCATAGCAAGAACCAGAAAAATCACAAATGAATGAAGAGTCAATTGAGACTCCAAAATGAAGATGACTCAAGTGTTAACAATTATCTGAAAAGAATTTTAGAACATTTGTCATAAAATGCTTCAATAAGCAATTATGTTTTCTCTTGAAACAAATGAAAAAAAAAAACAGAAAATTTCAGCAAAAAGTAAAACCTACAATTAAAAATGAAAATTATAAGAATACCTGAAACAAAAGGCTCTGCATTGGCTCAATATGTCATCTCAATGAAATGGAGGTGCAGGGGATGGAACCCATGACCTCTAGGATAGCTTAGTAGAATTTATTCCATCTGAAAAACCGAGACAACGCACACAGGACAGCAGGGTCCCGTGAAGAGTCAATTGAGAAAAAGAGAGCTACATTTGAGAGCTCACATTTGTATCCTTGGAGTCTAAGATAAAACAGAAAAATGTTGAAAGCAGCCAGAGAGAAATGAAACATTGCCTACTGGAGAACACCAATTCAAATGGTGGCAGATTTCTCATCTCAAACCATGGAGACCCGAAATGAATGAAGTGCTTTTTCAAGTGCTGAAAGAAAAGAAGAGTCACCTGCAAATTCTGTTTCCACAGAAATTATCCTTCAAGAATGAAAAAATAAAGATGTTTGCTAGACAAAAGAAAAGAAGAGAAATTTGTTGTATAACAAATCTACCCTTACAGAATGGCTAAAGGAAGTATTTTATTTTATTTCTTATTTTATTGGTTTTATTTTTTATTTATTTATTTTTTTGAGATGGAGTCTTGCTCTGTCTCCCAGGCTGGAGTGCAGTGGTGCAATCTCAGCTCACTGCAACCTCCTCCTCCTGGGTTCAAGCTATTCTTCTTCCTCAGTTTCCTGAGTAGCTGGGATTATAGGTGCCCAACACCATACCCAGATAATTTTCTGTATTTTTAGTAGAGACAGGGTTTCACCATGTTGGCCAGGCTGGTCTTGGACTCCTGAACTCCAGTGATCTGCCCACCTTGCCCTCCCAAAGTTCTGGGATTACAGACATGAGCCATCGCACCCAGCCACACCTCAGGAGTTTTTAAAAGTGATTATTTCATGTTTGACGCAAAAGCTACTATGCCATCTGATGGGATGCCCAATGTGTGTAGAAGAAATACCTGAGATGCTTAAAGGGTGGGAAGGGTAAAGACACCTAAAGGAAGGGTGAGCCTCTGCTTTACTCGACGTGATAAGGTGTCGCTTCTGTGGACTGGGATGGGTTTAAGCCATCACTTCCAGGGGATTGGGATGGGTTAGGTGTGCACTGTGGATCCATCGACATTGAACTCACAGTGGCTGTGCGTGTTGCAGCAGTGGGGCCAGGGAGCTGCGGGGCTGCCTAGAGCAGATGAATTGCGGCCCGAGATTCCCTCCCAGAGGAAGCAGGGTAGATTAGGTCGGGATGTTAGTTACGTTGAGGCCATTGTAAAGTTATGGATGTTTTTCTAAAAGTAGGCATTTAGTTATTAGAATTAACAAGCAAGGAGTGACACATTCTGACTTGAATTTTTAAAATATCATCCTAGCTGCTTTGTTGAGATTTAAGTGTAAGGGTTAAGGGCAGGTGCATTATGATGAGTGAGGAGGTTATTTCAGGAATCTAGGCAAGGTTATGGTGGGTGGAGGGGAGAAACCAGTGGGTTCTGGTAATGGTAGTTTTAACACAGAGCCAAAGGAAATCTTAGTGGTGGACAAGAGGGGACTTTAGGATGGCTCCCAGGAGCGTGGCCTCAGTGACCGCTAAGTGAGGTGAAGAAGACTGCCGGAGGGCAGACGGGTGGAAGATCAGAGCTCTGGTTACTGAGACTCCAATTAAGCATCCAAGCAGTTGGATATATAAATCTAGACTTCAAGGGAGAGCTACAGACTTGGGGATAAAAAGTTACTATGTGGAGAGCGCTTAAAATGATGAGATTGGATGCAGTTACCCAGGGAGCAAGCGTCAACTTTACTCATTTACATTTACAAAAATGTAAATCTGAACAGAATATCTGTAACATCAGCAAACAAGAGGAAGGGCTTCTCTATTTTTGGCTGGTGTACCTCAATTCTCCCTATAGCATCTGGCGCTTGATATTTATTTACCGAATGGACAGTGACATGTGTGACCTGTCCACCATGACCAGATCAGCGTCAGATCTAGGGCAGCAGTGGAAATCTTCTCGTTTCTAATTCAGTGGTCATTTATTGTCCTTAGCTCTCCTGCCAAATTTAATTCTCATTATCTCACTTGTGATCAACACTAAAGCACTTTCCATTTCATTTCTAATTTCTTTATTGCTTGTTATTTTTCATAAGTTATTCTTATGAAAGCTTATGAAGCCTTTAAAATTAAAATTAACTGTGTTTTTCTCTTATTTTAGGAAAAAATGAAGGCAAGATAATTTTGTGATAAATTTAAAAGAATAAAATTTTTTTTAATTTAATAAAAATGCTTTTTACCTATTTATAGAATTATAACAATATTCAACCATTTTAAAACCTGGTTGTTATAGATTTTCTCTACATCACAAGGAATTCAATACTATATTATATATTAAAAGCCTAAAAACCTAAAGATTGATGACAGTTTGTGTCACACAAGTTTTATAATAATAAGGAAAATAAGTATAGGGAATGTATTGATAATAGAATGTACATTTTCTTAAATATAAGCTAAATTAGATTTAGTATTGTACCAATTCCAAATGAATCGTTTTATCAGCACTAGTTTAGAGGAATAATTTCTTCCATACAGAGAAATTACTGTGTATACGCAATATTGCTAAAATATAAAAGCCATTAGGTTTTTGTTTATCCTTTTTCTGACTTTTCTCCATATAAATGAGAAGCAATTCTCACTTGAATCAACAATATATATTAATTTTTAAAAACAGAAATAAACATAAAACAAGGTTGTAATTTTTACAAACATAGGCTTTAAGAAACCGAACCCTGTGTTTTCCATAGAAACCACAGTCCAGTGTTTGCTATGCTCCCAGCAACTTCATAGAACACAACTACCATGAATAATGAGAATCAACACCACCTCTTTTTAAGCACCTTTAAATTCAACATTTTGATTTGACTTAAAATTTTTATCCGTGTGTGTGTGTGTGTGTGTGTGTGTACATGTTGGCAATGAAAGAAAATACATACACTAATTCTCCAAAATTCTTCTGGGTGATTTAATCAACATATATTTCTGAAGTTCCTGCTTTCATCAGCATTTCCTTAAATTCTTTGGAGAACATGGACATCTAAAGCATTCATTACCCTGGCTCCCAAATGTGCAACTTAATGCAGCATACATTACAAACAAAAATATAAGGAATATCATATTGTAACATAAGGCTACAGAAGCTTACTGGTCTGCCCCTACTCTAAAGACTGAAGTGGTCACATGAAGGGGCCACTTGGAAGATGCAGGGGCTGAAAGTGGTCAGCACCAGGGCAGGTCGGAGAAAGGGCAGTTTATTTCAGGAAGAATACATGATACTAGGCACACCATAAACATTATGGAAAGTAAATAAAGAGAAAGATTTATATTGTATGAAATATTTTAGAGTAATGTGATACAATTTGAAGTTAATGGGAAAAGACTGCTAAGTTATTGCTGTTTCATAACTATTTTATTGTGATTTAAAAGCTTTGCATAAAACAATATCTGGTATCTTTAGAACTAATATTTGATTTGAAATACCTTTCTATTAAAGCTTCTCTGACCATCTAATGGTCTTAAAAATAACATACGGGGATTAGGATGTGTCCTCAAATAAAATTGCTTTTCAATGGCGTTAAGGTATAATAATGGCTGTATGTTTACTGTTTTTATTAATATGACACATTGTGTGATATCTGGGCCCAGCAGCTGTCTCAGTTGTGGGCGATATTTATATAAGAGCAAACCTGAGAAAGAGGACAACTCTGCAGAGTCTGCAGCGTGAGCCCTTCTTGACTCTTTTCTGCAGGTAGGGGATGAGAGAGCTGCCCCACGGCTGGGCTTTTACGTCTGCTGGCTGCTTACAGGATGTCACACTGCTGAATCACATGTCCTTGAAGACCAGCAGAGGATGGTGGGTGTGACACTGGCCATGCTGTGTAGACAGTGGCAGAGCGAGCCCAACAGGACCCTTGGAGTCTACAGAGGAAGATAAAGTCATGCATGGATAATGTCCTGTGACTCGTTCTGAAATATACAAAGGCTGCCATTTTTCAGAGACAGAGCAAATTATCCTACACCCCTTTATACCCTAAAATTTAATTTCAAGTTGCCTAAGTCTGCAAAGATTTCCAGTATCAAGTACAACTGGCCTTCAAATCCCCTGATATCCACTGAAGCTGTTTTGGTTTTTTGTTTTCACTTAATTTCAATTTTTTTTCTGTGATCCAATGCACAGCTCTAGCATTGTGACTTCCTTAACTAAATTAATACCTTTAATCTGGTTGTAGTAAAGTCTTGCTGTAACCTGAAATCCCTTGTTTCTCCCTGGTGACATTGCATCATGTGTCTTTGGTTTTTTGAGGACTGATTTTATTGTTTAGCTCTCAGAGGGTGTTCTTATTTCCAAGTAGCTTGAAACTACCAAATACCAATCATAATAACCAGGAGTACAAACTAATAACTTGGGGTAGTAATAAATAGTACAATTTTTACTTACAGCTTATGCTATTTTTCTAAATTACATGTTGATCCTTTTTAGTGGCAAGCTGCCCATAGGTATTGGTGATGAATAACAATTGAAACAATATGCGTTGAGATCCCCTCTTACTCTGCAAATGTAACGAAGCATACATCTGCCAGATGGAAGTTACAGTATGATGTACCCTGTTGCAGGGTTGCTAAGTACAGTTTTTCTTTCCCAGCATTTTCGCCGGTAACTTTGTTTATAGACTCAGTCAGTAGGGTACATAGCAGTCTGAGCTTGAAAACTTAAGAATTAATTTCAACACATCTTTGACTATTCCCTAATGTTCTGCACTCCAACATGTTACAGCTAAGCCAAGGGTAACTAGTGTTTTCTGATGAAGAGCTGTTCCTTCCAGTACCCACCTGCAAATCTGAGAAGATACGTTGAGTGTTAAGTGCTAGAGAGAGAAAAATTATTGACCCCACTTTAGAAATACCCCATACTGATGAAAGCGATGTGCTTGGGCATGGTTTGGAGAACCAGTGGGGTGTTTGGAATGATGACTTCAGTCCATTTTAACACTGGAACCCTGATCCTATGTTATAATAAGATAGACACATGGCAATAAATTTCATAATCAAGTATAATATGCTTATCATAATGTGTGTGGTTTTTTTGAGCTAAAGTGAAAGCCTCCAGATTGTGTCATAGAACTGATGTTTATTGTGAATTTTAAACATAAAAATTGACCTTCCCAGTCTTAAAACTTAAAAATGTTACATTTGTATTATCAGAGCTCCTTTCTTAGAAAATCAATGATCGGACCTCTCAGATAGTATCAAGGAGCTGAAACTTACCAGATTATGCCATTTGGACAATGAGACACCAAACTCATAATGTGTAGTGATTGCCTAAATGACCACCTGCTTCCTGTTGACCAACTCCTCTTCCTTATCGTTCTCTAATTCCATTTTCTCACACTTGGTTACACTTCTTCCTTGCTACACAAACCCATAATTTCAGTTGCTCAGGCAGATGGATTTGGCATCTCCTCACCTACAGCACCCAATTAAAGCCTTCTACTGTGGCAGTACACGTTATCTCAATGACTAGTTCTCTATACAGCAAGCAATAGGACCTAGACCAAGCCCTTGGCCTTTTGGTAGCAAAACTAGCTTCCAGAGGACATAGGCATACTCTGCTACATTTCCTGCCTCCCTTGAATATAGCATCAAGTTTGAAAGTGGCCCTACAACTTTGGTGAGTTGGCTTTTGTGACATTTAAATAAATACTCATTAAACCAAATTGCCCCCAGGATTCTCCACAAAAATCTCATAATTATAGAGCCTGTGGTGTCTGAGTTCCGAGGTTTTACTTCATTATTTTCTAGGAAAATTTTGAAGTAGAAAAAAGAAATTAAAATGCTCCAAAAGTCATAACTTAAGAACATGTCCTAATTCTCTATAGATTGCATGTTTAATGGAAGAAAATGCTTCTTGCTGGGATAAAGATGCTTCTTAGGACAATTGGAAATCAGCCAAAAGTTTTATAGGGGACTTTTTTCTTGTTTTTGCTTTTGAGTTTTTCTTTAGGCTTATGAAGAGCATAAATGCATCAGCCTATTAACAGACCAGGCAGATGCCCAGTCATATCTGAACGATACCATTTCTTTAGACTGAGTAGATAGGGGTTTTACTTGAACCCTAATATATTCCCATATGTCTTCCTGAAATCTAGACCTTAGGGGTCTTCTGTGTAGATTGTTGCGTATACCTGCACTCAATACACTTACCTAGTCAGCTGCATATAGACTCTCAGCCTTGGGTCACCTACCCACTCCCTTCCAGAGTAGAGAGTCAAGCTCACTGCAAGGGAGCAGGTTGCCCAGGGAGCCCAGTGCCCCTTGAAAAATGACAATGAAAAGATGGCTCTACATATGCGGTTCAGTAACTAGCAAGAGAAACCATTTGCAGTGGCATGTCTTTGGAATGATCATTTGCCAACTGCAAGAGATAAGTATTTTCATCTTATAGTATAATTTACCCCAAGACACAGCTCCATCCTTTCTTACCAAGGGTGTGTATGTGTGCATGAGTGTGTATATCTGCAGTTTACTTATTGATTAAGCAATATTGCAGGTTCTCTAAAGCTTGTACCTCTTGGGCTATTACAAATTTTATTTGACTAGGAAAAGAATATTTTTAGGAACTCACTCAAAAACGAACACATGCTTTGAAATAGAAATCTAAACGGTTTCTCCAAGTAAAAACTATCATGTGTTTCTGCGTTCCTACATCTAGAGAAATACACAACAGGGAAGCAACGTAGAGAGACATAAGAGTCAACTGGTTATGGCCAAGTTGTATTAAGACCCTGCAGAAGCTGCATGCATGTGGCTGAAAAGGACATGATTTCATTTTTTATGGCTGTGTAGTATTCTATGGAGCGTATGTACCACATTTTCTTTATCCAGTCTTCCACTGATGAACCTCGAGGTTGAGTCCATATCTTTACTATTGTGAATAGTGCTGCTATTAACATATAGGCATATGTGTCTTTCTGGTAGAACAATTTATATTCCTTTGGGTATATACCTAGTAATGGGATTGCTGGGTTGAATGGTACTTCTGTTTTAAGTTCTTTAAGAAATTTCCAAACTGCTTTCCACAGTGGCTGAACTAATTTACATTCCCATCAACAGTATATAAGCATTCCCTTTCTCTGTAAACTTGCCAGCATCTGTTGTTTTTTGACTTTTTAATAATAGCCATTCTAACTGATGTGAGATATTAACACAGGAACAGAAAACCAAATACCACATTTTTTCACTTATTAGTGGGAGTGAAACAATGAGAACACGTGAACACAAAGATAGGAACAATAGACACAGAAGCCTACTTGAGGTGGTAGGGTGGGAGTAGGGTGAAGGTTCAAAAACTACCTATTGGCTACTATGCTAACTGCCTGCGTGACAAAATCATTTGTACACCAAACCCTAGTCACACATAATTTACACATGTAACAAACCTGTGCATGTACCCCTGAACCTAAAGTAAAAGTTGTAAAAAAAAAAAAAAAAACTCACACACACACACACACACACACACACACACACACACACACGTGATGTGGGAGTAAAATAAAAACTAAAGAAGTTGGCTTAAGTGACATGTAGAGAACATTCCACCCCAAAACAGTAGAATACACACTCTTCTCAAGTGAATATGGTTCATTTAATAAGAATAATTATATCTAATGTATTAGAAACCTTAATAAACTCAAATCACGCAGAGTATTTTCTTGAGTTGCAATGAAATTAACTGCAAATAAATAAGTAAAAATGATATGATTGTCCTCAAATATTTGGAAATTAAAGCAATTCTACTTTCTTATGGGGAAAACTGGGAAGACTCAGAAAAATTAAAACATATTTTTTACTAAAACAAAATGAATATGTAACATCAAAATTATGAGGTAGCTAAAGCAGGACTTTGAGGAAAAATTATAGCATTAAAAAAAGATCTTGCCAAAGGATAAAGAGAGACTGGGGGCTGTTGAGTAGTTAATGGGTAAGACTGGAAGCAAGAGAGCCTCTGCTCTAGTTTACAAGGAGGCTCTTGTCTCCTCCAGTGGAGGGGAATGGCATAGCTCAGACAATTAGGAAGACCTAATTTTTAAAGCTGCGGAGCTCCAGGGACATATGAATGCATGGCTGAGGTCACTGCCTGAGTGAGAAAAGGACTGAGACCAGGGAACATGGTACAAGGACATATGTCTGGACAGACATCTCTCCTTTCCTACCAGGCCAATACCAAGAAGGAAATGCTAATATAACCCAGCTGGAAACATGCTAGCCCTGATAAGGGAGGAAGGACTCGATACACCCAAAGAGCTGAATGAATTAGCTCATATGTATGAGCATGAACCAGAGAAGCACTCCTGGGATTAGATTTTGAGGACTTTAGATCAAGGCCAGAATGTAAGACTGGATAAACAAAAATATAATGACTTAAGAGCACTTTCTCAGTATAAAGGATTAATACTCTAGCAATGACTGTAGGAAATGGTGCAAACATGCTCCTGGAGCAGCTCTTAGAAACTTGAAGAAAGCAATACCGAATACTCAGCAAAGTGGAAATGCCCAGATTACCCTTTCAGAAGCCAGAGGATAAACTGAAGGAAGTAGAGATTGTAGAGGTGTATGTTATGTCAGACAAAAAGACCCAAGAGAAGGTCATATTCTATGAGAAGGACCAGAAAGCTCACTCTTCACCAAGACCATCAAGAATGTGCTGGGAGAGGGGTCAATAATAAGTTTGGTGGTAGCTCTCCTGGTAGTTAGAGAGGCCGTCAAAGGAGTCCACTCAGCAACATCCATGAGGATGATAGAGCTCCATGCTTGGAGATGCCAGGTTCTGGGGCTTCACCACTAGATGCCAGGAGGTTTCAATGACCAGAAAGGTCAGAGGTGTGATCAAGAGGACATGACCCACAGGGACTTGCAGGGATGGTTAATAGAGAGTCTGTAGCAGGTAAATGAATAGGCAGCCATGAAGAATGCTGCTTAACATCTATAACTAGGGAAAAAACTTAGTATGGAGTATTAGAAAGTCAAGCACAGCCACTCTGTTAACAAGTCCAAGTTCCCACTCAGCTCCAGACCTCAGCCAAATTTTCAAATTCAGAATCCACTGGCATAACTTCTAGGAAGAAAGACCCTACCACACCATGGCATATGCTGTGAAAATCCCCTCAATCTTCCTCAAAGGGATCTACAGCCATGTACTTAGGCTTCTTCATACCGAGGAAAAAAGAATAACAAGCTATTTCAAAGACTACTGAACAAAGGGCCTGAATTCACATTGATTGACCAGATAAAGATCCAAAGACCTGTCACAGCCCAGCTTTGAGGCGCGGAGGGCTATGAGGGTTAGGCCAAATCGGAAATCTTGGCTAACGTCCACCTTTTGGTGGTCTGCTAGGTCCATGAATCTACTCAAACGTCATTTCCACAACTTCCAAGTACATAACTGGAATTGACATCTGTAGTAATTGTGTTAACCCCCGTGTTGGGTTTCTGCAATGAAGGACAAAAGCTGTCATCCTGGGGAAAGGCCAAGTGGAAACCTCTGAAATTCCCTCTCACCCTTCTGCCAAAACAGTAAATAAAAAACAGTATTGTATCCCGGGAGAGACAGAGACAGCAAAGACTTGTGCCACCATTAAAGATCCAATATAAGAATAAGGGTGATCCCCGTCATGTCTCCATTTAACTCAACAGTTTGGCTCCTGCAAAAACTGGGCAGATCCTGGAAGAAGCCTACAGATGAGCACAGACAAATACTAGCTATGTTTGCAGACAGATATGGTATAGCTGCTGGAGCAGATAAATATGGCCTCATATTTATTGCAGGCAACCATTGATTTGATAAAAGTGGTTTTCCCATTCTAGGTAGCAAAGATGAAATAATTCATATTCACTTGGAAGGGGAAAAATATTTATTCACATTTTGCCTCAGGGTTACACTGATTCTCTCACCCTCCTGTATTGTGGTCTCTCTAGCCTTCCTCAGATCCTACCTTAATTTCCCCTAATAAGTCCTTTCATGTCTTCTTTTCAGAATATCTCACCAGCACAAGGAGAATCTCGGAACCTATAGAATATCTGACAGAGGGGGGGAGAGAGAGACAGAGAGAGAGAAAGGAAGGAAGGAAGGAAGGAAGGAAGGAAGGAAGGAAGGAGGAAGGAAGGAAAAGGATATCTGGATTCAGGACTAGATCTAAAATAATAAAAATTTAAAATGAATATCTGACCCTGTGAACCTAATTTTTGCATATCAAAGTATTTTGTGTTAACTTGTTTGTTTTTTTAAAAAAATAAATTAAGTTTAAATTCAGCATGGCCTAGTGAAGACTGTCAACCATGGCTGCATGTTAAAATCACCTCGAGAGCTTCAGAAAATAAAAAAATAGCAAGACCTTTAGCCTGCTCCCAGAATTACTGATTTCATGGTCTGGATGAGCTTAGCCATTAGAATTTTGACAAGTAAATGAGTCTCCATTTTCTCCTGTCAGAGAGAAATCGTATTTTTTATCCTGCATGGCCATTATAATGATCAAAGCTGCTCGAATACTCTTGCCCAGGGCTTGCTCCCTCATTTCTGCCAAAGATTTTATAAAATATTGGCTTCGCGGAGGTGCCCTTCCTGTCACCATAGCAAAGGTTGCGAGCTCCCCCATGACCCTCCCGCCTTGTCCCTGCTGGATTCTTCACCAGGGCACTTACTGCCTTACAGTACCCCATAGGACTAGCATCTTCACTTTGTTCATGGTGCATCCTCCTCTCCTGGCATGTAAAATAAGGACACAATAGGGACTTTTTGACCTTTTGTCCACTGCTGCAATATCTAGGTCAGACGTTGGCAAACTACAGCCCATGGACTAAATATGATCCATGCCCACTTTTCCAAATAAAGTTGTATGAGTATGCAGTTGCCCCACAGGGTGTGTATTGTCTGAGCTGTTTTTGTACTGCCCTCATTACAACAGAGACTGTGATGTGGCCTGCAAAATCAAAACTATTTATTTTCTAGACCTGTACAGAAAAAAGTTTGCCAATCCTTGGTATAGGAAAGTATCTGGCATGTAGTATGTACTTAATAATATTCTTTCATTTATTCAACAGGGTGTCAAGCACAAAATTAGCACATAAAAATGGTCAATTTTATGTTTGCTTGATTACAAGTGAGTGTGGCCAGATCAGAGAATCAAATCCCTCAAAATTCATAGAGTAAAATGTTTATCCAAATGAGTTAAAGTAATTGGAGGGGATAGTCTCTTTACCTTCATACATATATATATATATATATATATATATATATATTTTTTTTTTGGTAGAGGTAAAGGGAAATGAGTAGTAAAAGGGAGGTTTCGCTTTCTAATCCTTCTTCTGCTCACTTAATTTTTGCGCTTGTTTGCAAGTTTTAATAATATCAACCAAAATAATTCTCCCTACTTTGTAAATGGAGTTCTTTTGTTACCACTTAAAAGGTGAATTTCTCTGGGACAGGGGTTCAGGCCCCTGGCTGCCCCTCAAGCTTTGGGGTCTGCGTGATCACCTTCTGGCAACCTAGAAGGGACGCTGTTTGGAAGCTGTGCTTACCATCATTACCCTGACATTGATTTTTAAATTGTCCATTAGCGTATTCATAAGGGAGCATATGCTTTTGTTTTTTTGCTAGAAGTGAAACTGAGAAGTTGGAGAACTTTATTAATGGGATCCTGACTTTGCCTTTCTTCTTCCACCTTTAAAGCTTGATCTTCTATGAGATACGGACTTCTTTGCAGTCCGATACTTTACAGACACCTCTCAAAATAAAGCTTTTAAATTCTAAAACAAAAAGCCATGAGGTGACAAAGGAAACAAATTATGTTGAAATTGTAGTGCTAGAAATAGAAGTTTTTAAGTAAAACTTTAAAAGCAACAAATATTTGATATAATAATTTATGTGATTAATGTGGTGAGTACAATAATGATCACAATTTCAAAGTCACGCTGAGAGTAATCATTTCAAGATGTTTGCAGCTACTGTGCATGCGATATTAAAATACTGAAAGTAAGAATTTCTGGGGGTAATACAGTCACAGGTATGGCTAATGCAAATGTGGCTGTGGCCTGGATGCGGGTTTGAAGTAGAGGCGACATTTTAGTTAGCAGGAAAGGAGAGACAGATGTGTGTCTTCCCTGCATGCTTTCTGACCCTTTTTCCACTTTCAGCATTACATTCGCTTGTGCACGCTCTAGCCTGCTTCTTCTTCAGAAAGTATACTTCACCTTTCTCCAGTTTAGCTTTATGACAAATATGAGTCCATACAGTTTTATTACTCCAAAAGAGGTACATTTTAACTGTACTTTCAGATCCCCAGTAAGATCTTATTTTCCTTCTCAAGAAGGTGCTGACAGTAGCCCCTAAGATCATATACTGAAGTACCAGCTCCTGAAACCTTCACGCAGGTGTATTAGAACTTCTACGTATGTTTATAATTAGTCCAGATGTACATCAGTCAGTTTGGCACAGCTACTGCACGGTCCGAAAGCTGGTGAGTTAGATATACAGTTGCAAAATTTTCAATTTATCTATTAGGCAGCAGTAGGCTACACTTGGCCCTATGTAAAATAATTCATGTAACATTACAGGAATTCGTCTTTTGCACTGCCTGGCTATCCTGCTTTTATGTGCATTTATTACTAAGAAGTTGTACTCATGGAGTATTGTATTATTATTGTTGATAAAATAATAATGATATTTTGCAGTCACCATGCATCTTTCTTTGTTCCCTGACTTTGTTTGCACTGGAAAATTAAAGAAACAAATTGCCATTTAGTACTTCTCCACCTCTGCAGTAAAAAATCGGCAAGAAAACACAAGCTCAGAATTATCAATGAGCAGATGCTAACAGGTTATGAAACTATGCAAATCACACGACACTGGAATAAATGAACTGAAGTTGCTGCCTTGCTGGTGGAACTCAGTAATGGAGGTTAGGGAAATTTTTGAAAACAAAAAGAAATGTCTGTAATTTTTTTTATATTGTGCTTTAAGTTCTTGGGTACATGTGCAGAACATGCAGGCTTGTTATATAGGTATACACATGCCATGGTGGTTTGCTGCATCCATCACCCCATCATCTACATTAGGTATTTGTCCTAATGCTCTCCCTCCCCTAGCTCCCCCACCCACAACAGGCCCCAGTGTGTGATGTTTCCCTCCCTGTGTCCCTGTGTTCTCATTGTTCAACTTCCATTTATGAGTAAGAACATGTGGTGTTTGGTTTTCTGTTCCTGTGTTAGTCTTCTGAGAATGATGGTTTCCAGCTTCATTCATGTCCCTGCAAAGGACATGAACTCATCCTTTTTTGTGGCTGCATAGTATTCCATGGTGTATATATGCCACATTTTCTTTATCCCGTCTATTACTGATGGGCATTTGGGTTGGTTCCAAGTCTTTGCTATTGTGAATAGTGCCGCAGTAAACATACATGTGCATGTGTCTTTATAATAGAATGATTTATAATACTTTGGGTATATACCCAGTAATGGGATTGCTGGGTCAAATGGAATTTCTATTTCTAGGTCCTTGAGGAATCGCCACACTGTCTTCCACAATGGTTGAACTAATTTACACTCCCACCAACTGTGTAAGAGTATTCCTATTTCTCCACATCCTCTCCAGCATCTGTTGTCTTCTGACTTGCAACTTTTTTTTTTCTCTTAACTGAGCCTTTTCTGGGAGGGAAGAAGTACTGATAAATTCACAAACGCTGTTTTGCTTACTCAGTGACATTGTCCTCCCCTTACATTCTTGCTGCAAGATACCCACTTTTCCTTTCTCCCATAAAATGAGATTTTAGGCACATAAACCTAGGAGATTTGTGCCAGCCCAGGAGATGTGAGATAAGGTGAGGCTAAGAGTTTCCCAACTGATATCGGTCGTTAAAGTCAAAACAAAGAAAAAATACTCATAGCAATTTTATATCATGCAAAATAGATGTCTTCTTTTATGATTCTAATGTAATCTTACAGAATAATAATAAGAAATGGAAAACTGGAGAGCAATGATTGTTTGATTAGGGTAGTGGATACACACTGAAAATTACTAAATGTACCAGGATTTCAGATAGTCATTGCTAAATAAGAATATAAAAAAATATCTCCTGCCCCTAAGGGCTTGAAAGTGCAGTGAAACAGACAAACAATAATCTATTTATTTAAAAAACTGTGTGATTAATGCTTTGAGCTAAATAAGTGTAGGTTGCTAAAGCAGCAAAGAAGTTTAAAGAAGGCTTCCTACAGGGTGTGGTACTTGAAGTGAGATGAGATACAATGAACTAAAAGATGTTGTCTAAATGAGGAGAGGTATGGAGGCTTCCTATTTAGAGAAAACAGTAGGAAGTCGAGAGAGATGAGCCCAGTAAAGAAATGATGATAATTTAATATGGCCACAGGAGTCCACAAATTGTACAGGTGAACATATGTCCTTCATATGAGCTACTTTCTCAAAAACATGACGAGCAAGTAGAAAGAGAATGAGGGACATATGTTCACTGGTACAATTTAAAATTCATGTAAAAATTTTACATAAATAAATTTATGTTCACCTCAACAAATTGTACATGTGAACATATGTCCCTCATATGTTCACCTGTACATATGTTCACAATTTAAAGCAAAAATATATGTATAGCCCAGTGGCAATCTGGGGCCAAGATGTTCTGTGAGTAATAAATACTGTTCTCTTATCCAGAGACCTCATATTTCTTGTAAGAATCCATCTGTCTCTCTACCTACTCATCATTCTGTCTATCTTTCTATCTTATCGGTACTTCTTTCTATCTGTGATGCTAAAAGAGAACTGACGGCCTGGAAGACAGACCCAGAAAAAGGAGTGGCCACATAGACAACTACCAAGTGTAAGACAGGTAAGGAAAGAGGGCTAGGTAAGACAGCTCAATTAAATCCCCCTGAAATATCAGAAAGAGGCAACATAGGACATGGCAAAGAGACACTATTTGAAGAGATTATGAAATAGAATTCTCTACGATTGTTCAAAAGCCAATCCGCAGATTCAGAAATCCCAATAAATCCTATGGAGGAGAAATAAAAAGAAATGTATACCTAGATATAGGATAGTGAAAATGAAGAACAATGTAGAGTAAGAGTCTGCCTTTCAGAGGGAAAAAGACAGATTATCTGCAAAGAAATGATATTTAGTTTAAGAGCTACCTTCTAACAACATAACCAGAAAAGAGAAAGGAAGATTTCTCAACTGATTATTATCCAACAGAACCATTTTTCCAGAATGAAGACAAAATAAAAACATTTAAAAACAACAACAAAACCCTGAGGGAATGCAGATCAACAGACTGCCTCTTTCATGGAGAAAGTCTGGCTGTGAAAAATATGTCCCCTGCAATAAAGCGTTCTTAATGAGGTAGCTAATTTGCATTTGGAGCAATCTCCTTATCAGATTAGGAACAGTAAGTAACAATTTAGAGACCAGCACTAATATGCAGACCACGCATTGAGTATCAGTGTTCCAAAAGATGTACTTCAGAAATAAAAGGGACAGTTGCAAAGACAAAGTTGTGATGTGAAAATAATGGTGAGGGAAGAAAACGATACACAGAGAAGTCTACAAACGCAGTAAGTGAGGTGGGACACGGTGACTCATGCCTGTAATCCTAACACTTTGGGAGGCGGAGGTGGGCAGATTGCCTGAGCTCAGGAATTTGAGGCTAGCCTGAGCAACAAGGTGAAACCCCTTCTTTACTAAAATACAAAAAATTAGCTGCGTGTGGCAGCAGGTGCCTGTAGTCCCAGCTACTCAGGAGGCTGAGGGAGGAGAATTGAATTGCTTGAACCCAAGCGGCCGAGGTTGCAGTGAGCCACTTGAACCCGGGAGGCGGAGGCTGCAGTGAGCTGACACTGCACCACTGCTCACTCCAGCTGGGTGACAGAGTGAGACTCTGCCTCAAAAGAAAAAAAAATGTGGTAAGTGTGTTAAAAAAAAAAATGTAACCTTGGACATTGAAACAGTACAGCAGTTAGGATAGTTAGGAATGAATGATCTGGGTTAAAGCATTACCATGTGTCTAAGCTGTAAACATATTGGTCATCCTCTATACTTTCTAAAAGTCTACACGTTAAAATTCTTAGAGATAGGAAAAGACACACAAAGAGTAGCATCCAAACTAGTAGAGGGGGAAATAGAATTAAAATGATCCAAACAACAAAAACAGAACTTAATCGTTCCAAATTAGGAAAAAATAAACAGAAGTAAAATGAAGAAATGCAGAAAAGGGCACAAATACAAAGAAAAATTAGTATGGAAGAAATGCAGTCCGTCATATCAGTGATCAGAATGCTGGCCAAAATTCTTCCGTTAGAAGATATAAATCATAAGGACACAGAAAATTTGAAAGTCAAAGGATGGGAAAATATCACAGTATATGTTGTACACTGAACATATAAACAAAATTTTTTTGGCAACTGTACCTCAATAAAGTTGGACAATTGAATGAACCATTTAAAAAAGATATCATACAAATACGAATTTGTTTGTATTTAGGCAATGCTACTAAAATAGTAATATATATGACTGGAGAAGCTATGGGCTACACTAACATCGGAGAAAATACAAGAGGGAAAGCATTTTAAAAAATAAAAAAAAAAAATAGGCTGGACGTGGTGTCTCACACCTGTAATCCCAGAACTTTGGGAGGCCAAAGTGGGCAGATCACGAGGTCAGGAGTTCGAGACCAGCCTGGCCAATATGGTAAAACTCCGTCTCTACTAAAAATACAAAAATTATCTGGGTGTGGTAGCACATGCCTGTAGTCCCAGCTATTTGGGAGGCTGAGGCAGGAGAATCACTTGAACCTGGGAGGCGGAGGTTGCAGTGAACCGAGATCATGCCACTGCATTCCAGCCTGGGCAACAGAGCAAGACTGTGTCTCAAAAAAATAAAATAATAATAATAACAAAATAGTAAAGATTAGTAGACTGCTTCCCTAAGAAGAACTAGCAATTTAAAATGTATCCATCTAGTTCTGTAACTCAAAATATAGAACACAATATGTACAGATACAGTGTTTCACCAGGAATCAATGGCAAATCCACCATTAGAAGGAGACCTGAATGGCAGGTAAAGGATACATGAAGGGATGAGCTGAACGTGCTGGTATGGCAGCCGGGCATGCTGACCTCGATGCATGAAAAATCTCAGGAGAGATGGAACATGGGAAAGATAACAGCAGTGAAGAAAAAAGCAGCAGCTGAGATTTCCAGTCCAAGAAATGCAGAATAGAGAACTTAAGGTACAGACACAAAAGCCTCATTCCCGTCATTTCAGGGTTTCTTGTCTGAGAATGGTCATCCTGTGTCTAGGCACACCAGGCCTTAAGAAGGTAGCCCCCATGTCTCCAAACTTTGTACCCTATATATACTGTTGTACTCCTTCTCTGACTTGTAAAAGCAACATTGCCAGTTAATTTCAGTTACCCCTGGGGATGGTTATATGTCAAGAAAGTCTCAGGCATCCACAGACTGGCATGAATGAGTGTGCTTGCTGAGGGCAGTACACGGAGGGCGTGAAGACTTCAGCAGTCAGGAGGGAAGAAAGGAGCAGGAGAAACTCACGCACGCAACAGGGTCAGCATCGGGGAGCCCTGCATAGCCATGGGGGTGTTCCTCATGTGCCATAAACTGTTTATAGATTTGTTTTCCCCATTGGATTCTGTCTTAAAGGATGGCAGGCATTTTACCAATCTTTGACCACTGAGGCATATTACACGCCTGTATCAGAAGATAGAAGTCAAGAGTCAGCTCCATCTCCTATGTGGCTGCCCCACCCTAACCCCTGGCTGTGAACGGTGCTTATTCCTGCCTCAGTGGCTTGCTCGCAGAGGCCCCAATGCCTCAAATCCTCACATTTTGTTCTATCTTTTCAAATGCTATGTG